GATGTCGTGGTTGTGAGTCTGAAGCCAGTTTAAGTCATAATTCCTTCTCAGGTCATTAGCTGACTTGAATGAGGCATGGTCACATTGAAGAAAGTGATTTCTTTCTTTTTTTTTTTTTATCATAGTCTCTTCTTTAAAATCGGTGGTAGGGATTGAGCCAAGGTCTCTCAGTGTGCTAAGCCAATACTCCACCACTCTCCCAACCCAAGATCTTTGCTGCAAATGTTAAAAATACCTTCCTAGTAACACCCAGATTAGTGTGAGACCAAGCAACTGGCACCATAGTGTAGCCAAGCAGAAACAAAATCCACCACCACAGTTAGTAACGTGGCTAGTTTCCTTCAAGTAGAGCCACAGATTCATTATAATCCTCCTCAAAATTCAAGAATACTTAAAAAAATTAGTAGACTTACCTGAAAGTGCAATGTGGTTGTGCAGATGGACCAGTTTTCTTTAGAATTGACAGCGATTGTTGACAGTGTTGAAAGGTGAAGTTCCCCTAGCTCTCTGACTCTAAATGGTGGGCTCCACTTGCGCTGTGTATTAGCTTAATATTCCATTCCTGAGGTAGTTTTATGTCCTACAATACAAAGCATACCAAATGTCAATTTGTAGTTGGTCATAATTGTGCATTTAATATATCTTGCCTCTGCCTCCCAGTGCTAGGATTAAAAGTGTGCTCCACCATCATTCAAGGGACATTGGGAGTCCCAGGGCAGACAGGGTTACAAGTGAGAATGTGTTTTCAAACAACAGTGGTCTGGAGAGATGGCTTAGTGGTTAAAAATGCTGCTGTTGAAGAGGACCCTGGTTTGGTTTTTAGCACCTACTTGATTGTTGGGATAATCTTTTTTATTGTCCCTGTTTTACCTCACCAGCCTCAGGCACCTTCTAATTGGTTTAATAAAGAGATAAACGGCCAATAGCTAGGCAAGAGAGGAAAGGCAGGGCTTCTGGGAGAGACAGGAACTCTGGGAAAGAATCTGAGGAGGGAGATTAACCTGCCAGACACAGAACAAGTCAGACATAAGGTACTGAAGAGAGATAATGAGTTGTGGCAAAATGTAGATTAATATAAATGGGTTAATTTAGGTTTTAAGAGCTAGTTGGGATCCGAGCAGTGGTGGCACATGCCTTTAATCCCAGCACCCAAGGAGACAGAGGCAGGTGATTATCTGTGAGTTTGAGGCTAGCCTGGTCTACAGAGTGAGTTCCAGGACAGCCAGGACTGTAACACAGAATTCCTGTCTCGGGAAAGAAAAAGAGCTAGTTGGGAATAAGCCTAAGCTAAGGCCAAACTTTCATAATTAATACAAAGTTTCCGTGTCGAAATTCAGGAGCTGACAGTCAAAAGAAAGACCGATTACTCGTAGTTCACAACTGTTCCCTCTTCTAGCTTCCATGGGCACCAGGCACACATGCAACATACTTACATGCACGTGGGCAAAACACACATATACAAAATACAAATAAATCACTGGGCACTTGGGAAGCAGAGGCAGGCGGATCTCTGTGGGTTTATTATTATCATTATTATTTTTTTCTTTTTCTTTTTTTAAACTTTAACTTTATTTCATGCACATTGGTATAATGATGTCAGACTCTCTATAGACAGCTGTGAGCTGCCATGTGGGTGCTGGGAATTGAACCTGGGTCCTCTGGAGGAACAGTCAGTGCTCTTAACCACTGAGCCATCTCACCAGCCTCTATCATTATTATTTTGATATTTATTGAGCTCTACATTTTTCTCTGCTCCCCTCCCTGCCTCTCCCCTCCTTCCTTCAGCCCTCCCGCAAGGTCCCCATGCTACCAATTTACTCAGGAGATCTTGTCTTTTTCTACTTTCTACTTCCCATATAGATTAGATCTATGTAAGTCTCTCTTAGTGTCTGTATTGTTGTCTAAGTTCTCTGGGGTTGTGGTTTGTAGTCTGGCTTTCTTTGCTTTATGTTTAAAAACCACCTACGAGTGAGTACATGTGATTATTGTCTTTCTGTGTCTGGGTTACCTCACTCAAAATAGTGTTTTCTAGCTCCATCCATTTTCCTGCAAAATTCAAGCTGTCGTTAATTTTTTCTGCTGTATAGTACTCCATTGTGTAAATGTACCACATTTTCTTATCCATTCTTCAATCAAGGGGCATTTAGGTTGTTTCCAGGTTCTGGCTATGACAAACAAAGCTGCTACAAACATAGTTGAGCACATGTCCTTGTGGCACGATTGAGCATCCTTTGGATATATGCCCAAAAGTGGTATTACTGGGTCTGGAGGAAGGTTATTTCCTAATTTTCTGAAAAATCACCACACTGACATCCAAAGGGGTTGTACCAGCTTGCATTCCCACCAGCAATGCAGGAGTGTTCCCTTTTCCCCACAACCTCTCCAGCATAAGTTGTCATCAGTGTTTTTGATCTTGGCCATTCTTACAGGTGTAAGATGGAATCTCAGAGTTGTTTTGATTTGCATTTCTCTGATGACTAAGGATGTTGAACATTTCCTTAAGTGTCTTTCAGTCATTTTAGATTCCTGGATCTCTGTGAGTTTGAGGCTAGTGTGGTCTATATAGAGAATTCTAGTACCCAAAGGGCTTCCTATAAGGCCCTGTTTCACAGACAGAAAGAAAATATCAATGAAAATCTGTGACTTTTGAAGCAGGGATTTTAGATAAGACACCATTTTTTAGATAAACACTTAATTCATAAAAGAAAAATTTATAAATAGCTCTTGATAAAAATCAAGAATTTTTGTTCCTTGAGAGGCATTTAAATGAGTGGAAAGACAAGCTACAGTCTCGGAAAGAATCTTTACAAGCATATTTCTGATAAAGGATTTATAGCCAGCATACATGATCAAAACTGAGCAAAAGATCTTAGAATAAGTGAAAAAAATTTGAACAGGCATTTCATAAAAATATATCTAAGAAGTGGGTAGTAAATAAATGAAAACATTAATATTATTAGTTACTAGAGAAATACAAATAAACTGCAGTGAGGTGAGATGGCCCAGCAGGTAAAGGCGCTCGCCACCAAGCCTGTTGACCCCAGTGCCACTCCCAGGATCCAGGGGGTGGAGACAACTGTCTTGTCTTCTGAGCTCTGTGTGCATCACACACACACACACACACACACACACACACCCCACAAAATAATTGTTTAGAAAAATAAAACCCTGCAGCAAGCTACACCTATATATCTGAAGACTGACTGAAGGGAAGGAATGAAGGCATGGCTCAGTTTTTGGCTAGCACATGGAAGGCCTTGATTCCATTCCCAGGACCACATAAACCAACCATATCAAGTGTTAGGCTGGGAAAGGACTGAAATTCTAGTACACTTTTGGGAACATAAAATAGTAAATCACCTTGGGAATTCTATTTATTTATTTTATTTATTTATTGAGGCAGGGTTTCTCTGTATAACAGTCCCGACTGTCCTAGGACTTGCTTTGTAGACCAGGCTGGCCCTAAACTTACTGAGATCTGCCTGCCTCTGCTTCCCAAGTACTAGGATTAACTGCCTGGCACCTTGGGAGAATTTTAAGTAGATATCATATGACCCAACTGTTTCACTCCTAGGCAGTTACCCAAGAGAAATGAAAGTTTCTATCTGTACACTGGTATGCATACAAGTATTCATAACAACCTTCCTTTTAATAGTCTAATCTTGGAAACAACCCAGTGTCTATCAGCAGGTGAGCAGATAGCCAACGTGGAAGATTACTCACTGATAAAAATGAATGAGCTATTGATACAGTGTGAATAAATCTCAAAGTAAAGTGTAAGTGAAGGAAATAGATAAAGAGCATTGGCTTTATTTACAGCCATAGTTGTGAAATGCAAACTAACCTGTATTGACAGCGAGGGGGCTAAAGGTTTGCCTGACTGTGAAGGGAGGAATCTGCTCATTGCCTAATTGTGCTGGTGTGGATGGCTTTGCAGACAGAGGTCAAATTTTATCAGTTTGTGCCCTTTAAATAGGTGTGGTGTACTAGGAGTGGCGGGTGCACACCTTTGATCCCAGCATTCAGCAGAGACAGGCGGATCCTTGAGTTGAGACAAGCCTGGTCTACAGAGCTTATTAAAAATGTAAAACACACACAAGGGCTGGGGATGTGGTTCTCTGGTAAAGTGTTCTGGCATGGTCTAAGCCTTGTGTTCAGTTTCCACTACAATGGAAACAAACTTTGGGAACTGTAAAGTCCCTGCACACAACAGACGCCTCATTTACTGTTAGTTCATCCAATCCGTGGCTGGTTGCTACCTCCTCCTTTCCTGGTGACACCATCCCCCTAGCCACACAAGCCAGCATCTGTTGTCTCTCAGTTTCCTACACAGGGCTTTCAGGGCTACCATAGCCCAAAGGACACCGCATCAAATGGCAGTTTGCAGAAGTGCCTGGACATTCTGGAGCCCCTGCCCACTGGAACTGGATCTGTCTCCCCACCTCCGACTGACACCACATCACTCAGGCGCTTCTCTGAGTCCCCTTTTTCCCTCTGCTCAGCATTCTCTATGCAGAGGCCCCGGGAGGATAAACTTGTAGTCACTGACCTCTAAGGTCAGATGCTGAGGGTTTTTCTGTTGGCTAGACTGCAGATCGGTGACCACCAAATGGGACTGGATTCGATTCGGCTGATAATTCCTTCATTTGGAGGAATTTCCAAGTCCTGGACCTGTCTGAGACGTTAGGTCAAGATAACAAATATTCTAGGAAGACTCAAGTTCCTAACTCCTGAGCCTCAGCCCAAAGGGCATCTCACTTTATTCCTTTAGCCTTTACCCTGGACCAAACGATCCTGGGCACATAGGGAGAGGCCGGTACCGGGCTCTGGCTTCTGGTGCTTGAGATTAGGACAGTGCCTGCAGTACCCCTGAGGGTCTGGGCTCCTTCGCTATCATGTTTGCCCAGTTGCCCTAGTGACTGTGTGACCCTTCTCCCCGCCCTCCACTGCCCGCTGTGGCTGCCTGCACCCACCATATAAATAGAGGCGAGGAGCAGCTGGGCTCTCTTGGCAGTCACCATGAGGGCGCTGCTCCTGCTCTGCTGCTGCCTGGCCTCGCTGCTGCTTTCAGGACAAGCAGGTATGCCCCCTGCACAAACGGCTCCTGCTAGGCCCCTGGCGTTTCCAAGCTTTTATTGGAGTAAGGGGCTGGGGCTGACGGCAGGACCTGGCTTCTTGTTGGTATCACTGTCCTTCTCGCAGGGGCCTGGGACACAGAGGATGACATGCTAGGGAGAACTGGGGGCTCATGAGGGGTTCTAAGAAGAAATGAGAGCAGATGGTTTTGAGGTCTGGGCCAGGTTTAGAGAGAGGAGTCTGGCTGGAACATGCTGGAAAGAGGACCCTCAAAGCCAAGCCTAGAGGGATCTCTGGGATGAATAAAAACAATGTAATCTTAGAATGGAGGTTCTGAGTTACCCTCTTGGTAGGGGATAGGACAGAGGACTCTGTTCTAGCTAGTGACGTTAGGTTTGCATGTCCACGGACAGAGTGGGACACTATAGGTAAAGCTGGGAATCATGTTATGAACCGTGGGGCAGGACGCGTCAGGATAGGGTCGAACTGAACATAAAGCTGAGAATCGGTGGTTGTGTGGGAAGCAGCTTAACAGAACGCAGAGAGGAATGGGGAGAAAGCCTGCATGAGTTGCAGGGTCTTTCATGAAGGGGGCTCGGCTCTGCGCACTGTGGCTTTCCTTTGACATCTCCAGCACTTTGTGTGACAGAGGCGGTGGCTTTGGGTTGCAGCATTGGGGTTATTTATAGGCTGTGGAGGGGACACCCGATCATTTTGCCACTTGTCTTGTTCTTAAGACTCCCAAGGCTGGCTTCCCCGTGGGGGTTCTTTGGGGGAGGTGCCCTAAGAACCCCCCTAGGATCTAGGACTGTGCAGTTTGTGTCCAGTAGTAGCACTTGGTCTTTGCACATGAGATCGTGAGGTTTGTGGGTCTGCTCTTAGGTTTTTAAGGTTCTCTCTCAGGAGACTGTGGAGACAGAGGTACAGTCCTAGTGAGAGAATGGGCATTGGGATGAACAAAAGACATTCTTTGAGGGTGGAAAAGATAAGGCTGGGGGCCTCTGGGCTACTGAGCTTGCTCTGGGCCCTGCCCTTGTCTGCCCTTGAGTTAATTTGGTCTGTGGGGCTATGGTGGCTGGAGTGGTGAGTATTCCAAGCGGCTGTCAGGTGGCTAAGTATGGAAACAGTCCTGTAATTGGATCCTGAGCCTGAAGCCACTGCCACCCTCTCCCCTTCGCAGCCCCTCCTCTCCCCTTCCCAGCTGCCACCTTGAAGCTTCCACACAGCAGAGTCCCAGGAATTTCTGTCCTTTTAGGGGCATCTTTTATATTCTCTCTTCGTATAGCGGGAACTGGATATCCAGAATATTCCAAAAACTCTGCTCAGAGCTCTCACTATGGGGAATAGGGGCACGTGCTTCCTGTGAACATTTCTCCAGCCTGTTACTTTCCTGCACCCAGCAGTGTGAGCATGCCAGCTCCCATGGGTCCATTAGTGTGCAAATTCCCCTGCCTGCTCCTTCCAGCGGAGTGACCATTACTCTGCCCAGATGTAGACTGTAGACTGTAAGATGGCTGCTGCTTGAATTTAGCGGGAGGTTCCAAGACACCAGATTATTTCCTTGTACCCTTATGACAGCCATCTTTCCTAGTGGTGGATTTTCCCCCAGAATGTGTCATCCTGGTCAAAGATCACGTCTTTGTACCTGAGCTCCTCTCCCCACTCCTCTTGTCATTTACCCCCATTTTGCTCTGCCCTGGGCTGGAAGAAGCAGATGTCTTCTCTAGCCGTACCCCAGCTTCCAAGGATAGTAGGAATCCTGGAACTCTACCTGTCTTTATCTCCTCCACATTGCTCCCGCATTTCCTCTAGGCTGGCTGGTTGACTCTTCTTCCTGTTAGGAGACCCAGCACCCTGCTTCCCTAGCTATTAGTCACAAGTACCCACACCAGGACTTGGAGCAGCCATGGGCTCTTGTCACCAGACACCTCTGGTCTCCACCCTTGTCCTGCTGCCCCGAGTTCTTTACAATGCCGAGTGCTTCCCGGGGTCTGCACCTGGCAGGGACGTAGGTCTCGTCAAAAACCCTAGAGATGACTTAATCGATGTGTTATCTGAACAGTGAAGGAGAGGACAACCCAGAGAAGTGAAGGGAAGGGACCTCTCTGGGCAGTGACAGAGACACATGTGCCAGTTGTCACTCCTCTGGGGAACTGTGTTCCTCCCCTGCCTGCCCTCCTCTGACAGCACCTGTGTGCAGATGTGGAGAGGGGCACAGATGAGGCCACCCAGGTTCCTGAGAATGTTGCTTTGGATCCTTAGACTGAGCAAGTAGTAGGTGATGCGAAGACAGCATTTGTTAGGGGTGAAGCCATTGGTGTGTATTGTGAAAGGCGAATCATGACACCTTTGCTTCCTGCCCTGTGATGAGGGACCTGGGATTTCTGTGTCCATTCATCGCCCCCATACCCATCTCAACCCTGGCTTGCAGGTTTTTGACTCCTCTCTGGCCCCGCTCTGCCATCCTGAGGGGTTGGTTTATGCTGGGAGCTCCCGTCTATAGGCCTAGGGCAACGTGTCTATGCCACTCCTTGAGGCTGGTATACCCAAAGGAAGCTTCCCTTCTGTCTCCTCCACAGGGCAGTTCAGCTGCTGCTGTCTTCTGTAGGGAGGCTAAGAGGGCTGAATTCAGAGTTTTTGGGGAGAGAACTGACAAGCCTTCCTAGCTCCCAAAGTGATGTCCCCGGACACTAGCTGTGAGAGTTGGACAGGCCCAAGTGCATCTTGCCTCCCATTTTCCACATGGAGTCTGTGAAGTGCTATGCCAGGATGTGCTTATGGATTCGTCCCTTTGGAACAGTGATGCCTTTCCTAGTATCATGGGGAACCACAGTTTGGGAAATTCTGTTTCTGCCCCATATATGAGACAGCTAGTTCACGGTTGGCCAGAACCAGGAGTCAGGTCTTTCCCTGTGCTTTTGCCCACTTACCTCCTGAGGGAGGTGAAGAGGAGGACAGTTGCAACCAGCAGGCCATTTGGTGCCTGCTTGTGATCCAACAAAGGAGACAAGATGGCTGCTTCTGCTGCTGGCTTGGCCTGGGAGACGAGGCTGGGTGCTACGCTTCCTGGTGGGAATGAAGGTGACAGCTGGGGGAGTGTGCTGTACATAATGGGGGATGGGCACATTCTCTACTCCCAACCCAGTCTAAGCCCACCGTGTGATGTTGCTTGAGTGTGTGAACCCGTATATCCATACAGCTTGCAATACTTCATTGTTTTATAAAGTCATCCTATATTTATTGTGCCTGCTGGGTTCCCCCCCCCCCCCCCCAGACAGGCTTTCTCTGTGTAGCCTTGACTGTCTTGGAACTTACTCTGTAGACCAGGCTGGTCTCGAACTCACAGAGATCTGCCTGCCTCTGACTCCCGAGTTCTGGGATTAAAGACATGTGCCCCACTGCCTGGCTGTGCATGCTGTTTTTTAAAGTATGATACTGAAGGAATTCAGAAGTCATTTTGGCATGTCTTCGATCTAGAAGGAAGGGAAAAGATAGCTTCTTCTTCACGGGTATACCTGGGCTGGTAAGTTACGGCCATAATGGAGATTTGAGAAAGTGACAGGAAGTAGGGTCATTGAGCTGAGTGGATCGAGGAATGTCTTTTTTATGAAATAAATAACATTTACATTTACTGATTAGTGAGGGGCACACATGTCCACAGCATGTATGTATAGGTCAGGGGACAACTTTGGGAGACTTGGCTATCTAACTGAGGTCAGCAGGCTTCACAGCAAGCACCCTTACCTGCCGAGCCATTTGCTGACGCTGAGGAGTATTTTTAGATTAAGGAAGATGAAGCTCAAGGAAGGCATGGTTCAGACGTGAGAAGACAGCAGGAAGGGGGTCTATGTAAAGGGAACAGGATGAGTCGACCTCCTGCAGCAGCATGGATGACCCTGAGTGGCGACTGAGGGGGAAGAGTGGGTAATCATGCAGGACTTTTGTTGGTAGTGTTGACTTGAAGGAGTAGGGCTGGAAACTGATCAGCCAGTCACGTCAGGAGTATAGGTCAGAGAGCATAGACCCCAGCAAACTTGTGAGTAGGAAGAAGAGGCAGCCCTAATAGAGTTAGTGTCCAAAAAGCCAGAGTTCTCCACCTGAGCGGTCTGCAGGAAGCCCTGACCGGCTTCTTTTAGGTCACTGGAGGAACTGTCAGAAAAAGACATTGCAGACTATGTAAAAGAGAACATATCCTAAATGTTCAGTTTGGGCTGAGTGTGGTGAGACATGACTTTAATTCTAGCACTCAGGAGACAGCGGCAGGTGGGTCTCTGTGAGTTCGAGACTGTCAGCTTGGTTTTCCTAGTGAGTTTCAGGCCAGCCAGGAGTGAGACCCTGTTAAACAAAATTCAGTTTGGGCCGTTTGAGTGCCACAGACCGTGGGACATCTGGATGGGGAGTAAAAGTGGTTAGAAAGGTGAAGTTGACAGGTATGTTGACACGTGCCCGTAATCCCAGCACTTGGGAGACAGGTAGGAGGATCATGAGTCCAAGGTCATCCTGGGCTAGGTAGTGGGTCTTTGTATTAAACAAACAAACAAACAAACAAACAAAAAAACAGGAAAGATGAGATTGGAGCCTAGGACTAGACGAAAATCAGACCTAGAAACATAGAGGAACTATTCATTTATACAAAGACCAGCAAGGCTTGGAACGGGGAGCCATTGCAGAGGGAGAAAATAAGACCAGGGACTGAAGATTAGGAAGAGGAAGAGGATAATAAGTAAATGAATTTCAGAAAGATGGGAAGGAATACAGGGAAAAGAGCAGCATGGTGGCCAAGGGAAAGGATGTCTCCTAGAGGAAGGGGCAGTCAAGGGGATTGAATGTCACAGAGTCGTGGGGACGATGAGGTGTTGATTTTGACAACCCAGAGGTCACTGGCAGATTATGAGGGATTTAAGAGTATTTAGTGATCACACAGAGGCAACATATTTAGATGTGGGGACTTACAGATTAAGTAGGGGAATAAGAGCCAATAACAGAATTCAGGGCCAGAAGGCA